TTTTTTTTGAGACAGAGAGAGACAGAGCATGAGCAGGGGAGGGGCAGAGAGAGAGGGAGACACAGAATCCGAAGCAGGCTCCAGGCTCTGAGCTGTCAGCACATGGGGCTCGAACTCATGGATGGTAAGATCATGACCTGAGCTGAAGTCAGACGCTCTACAGACTGAGCCACCCAGGCACCCCCAAAAGTCAATGGTACTTCTTAGAATCACTGAAATGCAGTGTTTGAGGACCTGGTCAGCTGGATACTAATGGCAGAATGAGAACATACCAAAGGCACCAATCCCCAAGTTATACATGGCTGAATATAATTTATTATTTTTTGTTTGTGAAAGAAACCACTAGTTCATAGGCTCTGTGGGGACAGACACTGGGTCTGTTTTGTTCACTTCTGTATCTCCACCACCTCGTTTATGGTTGGGGTTCAACAAATATTTGCTGAATGAATAAAAAAAACAACAACAAAGAGCCACATTATAAAACATGTGGAAAACCCAGAGAAGAGCATAAATCATTCATAAATTCCCCCACTGTGGGTATTTTGGCTTATTTCCTTCAAATCTTATTTCCTATGAATATGCTCTTTTATATACATGTAAACATAATTTATTTTTAGATTTAGCTCTGGGATGTGTTTTTGTATTTCTCTATTAATATGAATGAAACGAGGAAATAAGAAGATGCAGAAATGCTTTGAAGATTTGTAAAATGTTTAACCAAATATCTTATTATTAGTTATAATAATCATAACCATACTGCTATGAATGAGGCTGATTTTCTGAGAACAGACTTCAAAGCAAACAACAGATTTGTTCTCTGAAGCTGGGAATGTGTGGTCCCTGCGTCCTGTCCTGTTCACCATGGGGAGTCCCTGTGTTTCGTTTTGGGAAGAGTGAGAGGCTCGTGGTTTCTTAGAAGTCCTGAGCCCCAGCTTTCCCACCCAGCCCAGAAATATCTTTAGTGTCACTAATGGAGCGTAAATCCTTGCCTGGGAAACCTCAAGCCTGACAAAAGATTCTACTATTTGCTCCAGCCAGTACCTGAAGATCGGGCCTGTCTCCTTGTCTTTGTGGGCAGATAGGAGCCTAACTCTGGCAAGCGCCACTTAGCAACCCAGGTGAGTTTCGCATGGACTAATGTCCCCTTCCTGCTTGCTGTCATTTTTCACTTCGCTGACTCTGCTCCAGGCCCCTCTGGTCCCCTCCCTTCCCCCTCCCTTTTCTTTAAAATGCCCAGTCATCTCTGTATAAACACACGTTGAGTCCCGTTCATGCTGAACCCTTGTCCCTATTGCAATGGGGGACAAACTTATTTTTGATTAAAATCTGTCCTTGCCACTTTAACTAGTGTTCAGGCTTTGCTTATCGCTGGCAGTACTTGAAAGCCCATGAGGCTAACAGCTTGGGTTCTGGGCTCACCAGGGCTGTCTGTCCGTCGGCATGCCTTGACTTATTAGTCCATGTTCTCACCCTTCCCAACTCAAATCCTCAGCCCTGAACTTGGCCCCTGGCTGAGGCCCCTGCCTCAGCCTCTGGGGTCTGTGGAGGCCAGCCAGGCTCCCAGCCGCCTCTGCCCTTGCCTCAAAGCCAACATCCCCACCACCGTGTGCTGCAGTGGAGGCTGATCTTGGCCTTCAACAAGTACCCAGGCATTAAGTACAGGGAACAGTTTGGGGGCCCCACACCATCAATGCCTTCCCAGAGATTCAAAAGCATAACTCGCTTAGAGATTTCAAACCAGTTTCTAGGAGCGCCTGGGTGGCTCAGTCAGTTAAGCGTCCGACTTCCGCTCAGGTATAATCTCACGGTTTGTGAGTTCGAGCCCTGCGTCGGCTCTCTGCTGTGAACACAGAGCCCGCTTTGGATCCCCTGCCCCTCCCCTGATCTCTCTCTCTCAAAAATAAATAAATGTTAAAAAAAATGAAACCAGTTTCTAATACAGAAGGTCATTTTATAAAGTGGCTAAAGGGCTGTGGTCAGTACTAGATGAGAGATGACATTTAAGCCCCATTTTAGAAACAGCTGAGCACATAAGTTGCATGTGTATTTCTTCGCTGACTATTCACTGTTCTGATTCTCCCTTCCTCACCCTCTAAACCCAATGCTCCCACCACTCATTGACCTCTCTCTTTGCCTCAGCCTCCCAGGGTGGGTTGTCTCAGATGATCTGGTTTAGGACTCACAGTCTCTCCAGTGTTTATTCCAGGTAAACCAGGAAATAAGAGAAGGAAAGTGTCCCTGTGTCTGTCTGCAGTCCTGCTTTGAGACCTCCTCCCTATTGAGGATTTGTGAAGTTCTCCCTTCTGAGATGTGAAACCCACGTCAGACATGAGGCTGCTCCAGTCCTCACACCCCTGACACGCAGAGTTGATGTAACAGTCCTAGCCGGCTGGAGGGTCACCTCCCTGGTGTGAAGCCAGAGAGAGGGGGCAGGAACGGGCGCAAGAGACTCCCCTCCACTTACACTCTTATGAGAGTGACGGCCCCATCCCTTTTCCTTTTTGTAGATCACTGTGAGTCGTATCAACACTGGCTGGCAGGTTCCCTTGGCATCCACCGATCCCCTGCCCTCTCAAGAGATTTTTTTTTTGCCCCCAGAAAGTTCTAGAAAAAAACCCCAACCAATTCAGTGAAAAAGAAAGTAACTCGGGTTTCTCTCACACCCAACTTTAGGAACCGACAATTGGGTTACAGAGGTTAGCTGACACCCTTCTCTAATTTCTGGGTCAGCCCCTCTCCTGGACCCAGCCCTGCTCGGGCCTCCTGAAGGCTCAGAGTCTTCCAGGAGTGGGAGTCCCATTTCCCTTCCTCATGGCTCTGCAGGCGGCTGGTGTGGGCCCGGGACCACTGATCCAGGGAGCCCAGGAACTTACCCTCTGCTCCTGGGTGGCCACGAAAGTCTGGAACCCTGGAGCCACCCCAAAGCCCAGCTCTTGGATGAAAGGCGGCTCAGACTGACTGTGGATCTGAACTTTCACTCCTGCTTCAAACGTCGTTTCCTCTGAAAGAACAAAGACAGACAGAGCCATGGGTCAGTGACAGCAGGTGCTCACGGAGTCTTGGGATTGAGAAGCTCAAAGGGACGTTAGAAAGGTCACATGGCAGACAGCATAATGGCCTGAAAAGACATCCATATCATCATCCCTGAAAAGTGGGAAGACGTCACCCTGCATGGCAGAAGGGACCCTGCAGATGCGATTAAGTTAGGGACCTGGAGATGGGAAGGTTATCCTGGATTATCTGAGTGGCCCAATGTCCTCATGAGAGTCTTCGTGAGACGGAGGCAGGAGGGTCAAAGTCAGAGAGAGAATGGAAGAAAGTGTGCTGCTGGCTTTGGTCGTGGAGGCAGGAGCCACAAACCGATGGATGCAGGCAGGTGCTAGAAACTGGATAAAGCAGGGGGATAGATTTTCCCCTGGGGCCCCCACAAGGAATGTAACCCTGCCAGCCCCAGATTTTAACCCAGTGAGATAGGTTTTGGACTTCTGGCCTCCATAACTGTGACATGGCAAATCTGTGCTGTTTGGGGTCACTGTTTGTGGAATCTGTGACAGTAGCGGTCAGAAGCGAATTCAGGCCAGTTAGGCCAACTCTTCGCTTGGGTCTCCAAAAGCAGAAAATGGGATTATGAAGTGAGTCATTCGCCTTTATTTTATTCGCTAGCTTCTCTACTTGGCCATGAGCTGAAGGTGAGGGGATCAGAGGAGGAAAACATGATGACACAGTGGTAGAAATAAAAATACAGGACTTGCTTGTATGCCAAGGTGCCCGCCCCTTGGAGCTTCTGGAGGTGGGCAACTGGTAGAGAAGCTTTGGCCTCTCTTTAATTTGGCAGGAGAAATGGCCCCTGGCAGTGGGAGGTGGCAAGGGTGGTGGAAGGCGATGGGATAGCAGAGCCTGGCTCATCTTATAATGTTCAAAATTGGTGGAGGACCCTTTACTGGGTCTCCTCTGTCTTGCTCTTTCCAGACAGCCTGCAGAACGAGCTTTCCAAAATGCAAACCTGCACAGGTCTCTCCCGTGCTGATAAGGAGCCCAGCCTCCGTAACCTGCTCCTGTTCCAGCCTTGCTCTGGGCAACCTCCTGCTTCATGGCACCATGTGTCCAACCCTCCAGGGCTGCCCAGATTGGTTGTTACTCGTCTCTGCTCTGCATGGAGGCGCATGCCTTTCCTTTTGCCTGGAAAGCCTTTCAAACTTGTCTACCCGGCCAATCTCCCTACGCGTCACTGAAGATTCAGGCCCCCAACCCCACCCAAAGCAAACCCTTCTCTTGCTCTGTTGTATTCTTTCCATATGCCTGAAGAAGCTTCTGCCACACCAGAAGAATCCTTTATCTGACAGTCTTTCCACCAGGGTGGAGCATCCTGAGGCCAAGTTCTGGGCTATCTCCCTGGACCTCAAAGGCCCTGCACAGGGCCAGGCATATAGCAGGTACTCAGGGAAGGGCTGCTGAGTGAATAAGAGATTTGCGATTCAAACCTCACTCAGTTATTAATGGGCAAGGCCAATCTAGAGTCCAAATCAAGGAGTGTTCTAATTGAAGGGAATGGAGGGACACCTGGGTGGCTCAGTCAGTTGAGCACCTGACTCTTGATCTGGGCTCAGGTCATGATCTCGTGGTTCATGAGTTCAAACCCCGTGTTGGGCCCTACGCTGACCGTGCAAAGCCTGCTTGGGATTCTCTCTCTCTCTTTCTCTCTGCCCCTCCCCCATCAAACTAAAGAAATAATCTTAAAGAAATAAAGAAATGGAATGGGGAGAGGATGGGTAAATGAAGGGATGAGGGAAGATGGCGTGAGGGAGAAATGGAGGTCGAGGTTGGGGAGGGAGGCAGGGGTTTGTTAGCACTGGGGCTACGGTCTGGGGATGAACACCGGAGGAAGGAAGGGCTGGGGCCAGCCATGGGAATGGGCAAGACTCACGGACAGCCTGTGGGCCAGTGATGGAGGCAGGGGAGGGTGCAGGAGCTGGGTGAGAATTCCAAGGTGGGGGTACATGGGAAGAAGGGCTTAGTAGGCACACAGGGGTTAGTGGGAAGGACAGGCAGGAGTTTCAGAGTCCAGACTTGGAACCCAGTGGCTGACATGGGATTTAGGCAGAAGGGACCCTCGGCCAGGAATCCTTTCATCATGATTTCGTGGAACTGGAGAGGATCCCAGGCAATCCACAATCACACCCCCTTCCCTCCAGCAGTCGAGTGTTCTGCTATCTCTTTACTCAGACTGTCCAT